ACTGGTGACCTGTCCAGGTGAACCTGCCTTCGCCCTAAGTTGGCTGGGATAGACTCCAGCCCCCCGTGACCCAAGTGAGGATTAAGCGGTGTATAGATAATGGATGGATGGATGTGTTATATATATTTTGCCTCTACTTTTCAGGCCCACACCATTTTTAAATTCTGAGTATGCACATTTTAGTGCATATGTGACAAATACAAATTTCCTCATCCAATTATTAAAATAAAACATCCTAAAAGCTGTATTTCTTGCAGTTACATCGTGGATCTTGTATCAAACTTGATTTACGAAGGGAACCAAATACTAAATTGTGCATCTGTCCTTTAGTGAGGCAGAGCCACGACCTCTGTCCTCACAGTCATCAGGTCCGTCTTACAAACACGTCTTTCTTCCAAATGCAACAAGCACTGCATGTCCACATTTTTCTCCTCTTTGGGGAGACTGTGGAGGTCGGCGCAGCATTCCACAGCTGCTCACAGATGTTGTTTTTTTTCTCTCTAACGTTATGAAGTCATGCGTTGAGTGCAGCAGGAAGAGACAAAACTCCCACTGGAGTTCAGCTGCAGCCTCAAAACCACAAAATGTAGGAAACAACAGACAGCGGGGGAACAGAACTACTTATATTAACTTCACAACGCCACAAACAACATCCTGTTACACTGAGAAGCCAGAGAAAGCAAACAAATGAAGCTACTAACCTGTCCAGGGTGTGTGAGATGCAGCTAGTTGCAACATGTCAGTGTACCTTCATGACTTGTGTCTCTAAGACAGCATCCAGGAAGAGATTAATCTCCGTCAGCTCCTCTGTAGTGACTCGTTCCGTCACGCCTGTAGACCGCTCATAGTTGTCCAAGAGCCTCATGAAGCCTGCAAGCACACAAATCCAATATTTTAATGGTGAAACCTGCAAATGACCCAAATGTTAAGTGAAAAATGATTAATCTCAGACAAACTCACGGGAGAAAGTGGTGATGTTGTTCAGTTTGTTCTCGTTAACGTTGGAGAACAGAGGCTGTGAGGCGTGATCGCGTACAACATGGCTGCCCTGGCTCACATAACCTGCTCTGCCCTGAACAGTTCAAACACAAAGTCTTTGTAAGAACAGAAGATTAGGGTCGTCTAAATGGGAGAATGTGCCGTACCTGGACGGAGACATTGTAGTCGACCCCGGGCGCCATGCGATTCACATCCAACCTCCACAGCTCGTTGAAGAGATTGGATAGTTCTTGGTTTATAGCTGGTCTGTTATAGAAAGAGTCAGTCAGAGGTAATCTAACAAATACTCATGCAAATGTAGGAAATATGAGAATTTTATACACATGACTGTACCTTGATGCATCCAGTCCACTGAGAAGCACTGAGAGCAGCAGGAGTCCAAAGAACCTGCATGTGACAGACATGAGACACATTTCTGACATTTAGTTTAATGTTTAATGTTACGGAAAACACAAGAAAGAATATCTTTACACTGCAACAATGAAATCAATTTTTAGTTTAGTGTTATGACAAAAATAGAAATACACACCTGGAAGCCATGATAGCGTTTGAAAGTCTCGACTCTTTGAGCTCGGACCACAGTAGAGTCTTGACTCATATGTGGGGCTGAAGGTCCAGTCTCCTCCCAGTGGTTCACATCCTGCAGGGGCTGGATGGGCAAATCTGGACAAGTTGAGAATGGCTTCGGAGGGAGGAGGTCCAGGTCCATGTCAGACCACCAGAGGGCGTTTCAGTTCAGGATACAGTCGTTGGTTTTCCATGTGGAACTTCTTTTACACAAGAACTGATGCAGTGATTATCACAACTTCAGAAACATTTAAGCTTCACGACGGTTTAAAGACATCACAGTCATGTCTCACTGCACAACGATAAAAGAAACAACTGGGGGCTCAGTTTGCACATCTGCACGTGATGTTGGCTGTGCAAATGCAAATGCAAACATAAATCTGTGGAGAGGTCGTCTGTGACCTGGAGGCTGCTGGATATTTGGAGCAGTAAGACTGAAGATATTTTATCCTCAATTTCAGGGGGAAAAAAAACTGCAAAGCCTTAAATTAGCCATGTAGAGTAATGTCAATGCTCACACCCTGTGNAAAATCCAGATGAACTCTGGGCATGAAGATAAATTTGGTTTGACTAATCCAGGTTCTGAGATCATGAGGCACCTCTCAGAGTTCAGGCCTGAACCAATCTTAAGGCACAAAAACAAGAACTTCAGTCTTGGTGACTGTCAGACGTCTGGAGGAGAATTTACATGCAACCTGAGTTTCAAAAGACTTCAAAAGCATCAGGATTTTTAAATTCCCAGAACAATAAAAGCTGAGTCTTTGAACAGCCTCACACAGTATATATCCATTTATTAGGCTTCAGTTCTCTGTTATGTAAGAAAAACAACAAAAAAACACTATTTACACAGCTGGAGAAGTGGAATATTCAGTTAGCTGCCAGCGCTGAGACCCCTGAATAACTTGGATCTACTGTGACGGACAAAGTTTGGCCCCAGAAGTTTGCTTTTAATAATCCACAGACTTCCTTGTCAGTGACTTTCACTGGAACTAAATTCTGCCAAAGAAACAGTGAGTTTTAAGCACATGGAGCAGCTGCAGCAGTAAAACACAGCTCAGACACTAATAACACTCCCGGGATCGTTCCTCACAAATACGACCTTTATTTTTTTTATGCATGAGAACAATTTAGGGCCAGTTATTCAGGATAAAACAACATAATGGAGCAGTTCATCAATGTGTTTGTGCTACTTTTATGCATTTCCTCAACATCCTCACAACTTAACTCTTTGCACCATCTGCAAAGAAGTGATTTAAAGGTTTTTTAAAAGTTAGGAAGAACATCTTTTCCCCCAAAAAACTAGCACAAGACACCAAATATTTGACTTTAAAAGCATCTTCTACAGACAGATATATGCCTACATGCTATCATTTTGAATCACAAATGAAAACAGAGACACATCTAGATCCTCCACATCAGTGCGACCGCTGCCTGACATGTCTGCTGTTGCTGCTGAGCAGTTTGGGGTACGCCGTCCCCAGGGAGCGTCCATGTCTGATGACCACCAGCTCCATCTGACACTGGTCGATGTTGACCAGCACCGTGGTGCTTCTCTCCGTGTTGATGAGGAAGACGATGGTGAACAGGGCCATCTCAAACTCAGGGCTGGTCCCGATGAAGGCGCTGCCGACGGGCTTCACCACGCCGTGCCAGCTGAACTGGAGGTTCAGGACGTGGTCGTCGTGATCGGGCTGCAGAATTCAGAAATGAAGTCAGGTTATGCTGTCACAGATAGAAACGCTGCTCTTGTGTCTGACTCACCAAGTCCTGCTCCCTGGCCTTGTACCCTTTGTAGTCCAAGTGCGTGTTCTTTTCTTGCAGGTAGAACTGGACCCAGTTGTGAAAACCGATGATTTCTGGTCCAGCTTTTGTCTCTCCAACAAAGACGTGTTCAAATCCACAGGAGTCAAGGCTGGAGATGTTTTAGTTTAGAGACATTACATAAGAAAACACTGACATCATCTCTTAGACAGCGGCAGTAAATCTACTGACTACTTTGTTTTCACACACTGATGTGATGTTGAGTTTCATCAACAGACACAACCGTCTCACATCTCACCCTGCGTTTCTCTGTCTGTAGTAGAGGTGGAACCAGATCAGGTTGAGCTGATTCTTGAACAGCCTCAGGTTGGAGCTGGACTGTCCTTTGCTCACCAGGTATGAATGAGCTCGCTGTGGAGGAGCAACGTTCATTAGATTCATCAGTGCAAACATGATTCTTGTTTCTCTCCTACAATACACAACAAATCAGCCATAAAGAAAGAAAGGAAACAGCTCAGAAAACATCTCTTTCCATAGTACCATGTATCTATAAATCAAATTATTGTTAACCAGTACTTTTGTGGAGAAGTGAAAAACTTATCTTAGTTTGCTGGAATCCTGATTCCATGTTTCTTAAAATTGAAATATACTGACATTCAGTGAAGAAATATACTGAGACCAGATACAACGCTAAAAAATGATGTGTTTCACAGGGCTGCAAGGTGGCTCAGTGGTTAGCATCGTTGCCTCGCAGTCCTGGTG